TCAATGACCTTTGCTTCTATTGGTTCAATAATAAGAAGTCTCCCTTTATTACAGCGATGCTCACGGCTCCACGGCTCGTCACAATGCCAACATAACCCCTTCGCATATCGCTCCCGAAGCTCTTCTCCTGTTAACCTCTTTGGTGCAGGGACTTGGTCGACAGTAGGGGGGGCTGAGGGCTTCAATATTATTGGTTGAGGAGTGACCCTAGTCCTCCGGGCTTCATGGTTCAATTGCTCCTCTTGATGTCGTGCGAAAGAGATGGCTGACATAAGCGTATATGGTTGTCACGCTTTAACTTCTCCTCGGATCTCCGGCTTCAAGCCCTCAATAAAGGTCCTCAATAGCTGTTTTTGAGACCAATCACGAGTTTGATTAGATAACCTTTCAAACCTGGTTTGGTACTCTTGAATGGTGGAGATTTGTCGGATCTTTGTTAGTTGTCCGTCAATATTCTCGTAATCGGTTGGTCTGAAGCGAATCAGCAGTTCTTCTTTGAATTGTCGCCATGAAAGGACTCCATAAGTATGTTCAAACCAGTCAAACCATTGTATAGCATTCCCTTCAAGATGTATAGCTGCAATTTTTACCATAGATACATCCGCGGTTTTGTGGTACCGAAAATATCGCTCCGCGCGCGAGATCCAACCAATCGGGTCTCCTTCTTCTCATCTAGGGAAGTCCACTCTCATGCATGGATAGTTGGGGTCGGTCATATAGCCTCCCCTCCCTTGGAAGTCATCTCTTCGGGCTTGGTGTGATTGGGCAAAGCTCTCTCCTTGATATGATTTCTTCGGGCTTAGTGGTCGGCCCAATCTGAGTTCGGTAAAGAGCGTCCGAATCTTATCCTCCATTCGCGCCTCCAAGGCTTCAAATTTAGCATTGATTGCCTCCTTAGATGCCATAGTATATGCCCCCAAATCTATGATGTTAATATCTCTCTTTTGTTGTTGGGTTAAAGGCATGTATAGGTTAAGAGAAGTGATGGTTGAAAGGGTTGGTGGATTGGTGGATGTAGGCTGCGGTTTAGGCCTGTTTTGTGGTTGTTTTGGGTGCAGTTTGAGGGTGTGGTTTGGCAGAGTTTTAGGGTTGTGGATGAAAGTTTTGGATCTGTGGTAGATGGTAGTAAAGGTTTGACATAAATCCGTGGAAGTTGCAGCAAGTATGTGCTGTCTTGTAAGAGTAGAATTATCGTCGAAGAAACAACGATTTCTCGACGTAATTTTCACCAAAAACTTGAGAGAATTGAGGAGGGAATTGATAGAAAAATCACAGTTTATATGACAGCAAGGATGTCTAATTTAATCAAGAAAATTTCGGCAGTATAACAGCAAGGAAATTGGTGCAAGTTGAGATTGCAGAATTCTCGTCGAAAAATTTCAGCGGTATACGACGAAAATTTGCAGCAACACAAAATCGTTTTTAGAGATGAATTTCTCAATAGAACAATCTTAGATGGAAGCCAAGATGATCTATGAAGTGTATAAGAAATTTCATTCAAAAAAATTGCAAATAGATGGGCTAAGGCAATAATATGCGGCTGAAATTTTCTGTAGCATAGATTTTCAAGTGCAGCAATATGCGGCTGATTGGACATAAAAGATCAGTAGTTTATATTGAGAATTTTTCGATGAAATCAAAGGGAAATCCATGGTTAGGAAGTGCCAAAGATGTCAAAAAAATTTCGTAGAAATTTGGATAGAAAGAGTACAGTAGCAAAATCAAAGAGATGATGCTATGCGGCTGGAATTCTGCAATGTATCTTTCGTCGTAGAGATAAAAAGTTTATACAGCAATATAGGAACAAATTTTTTTTTTATTTAAGATTTTTGAATAAGGATAACTAAATTACAGCAGTAGTAAGGTAGGAAACCGGAACCTGTTGCAATTCACGGGGAGATCAAAGGATGATCCGCGGTGGTGGAGATGATGCCGGAATTCGATGACGATCTTTTAAGCAATTGTGGAAATTGCTTTGGATGGTTGTGGAGGGTTGATGGATGGCTGTGGAAGGGCAGCGAGACGCCAAGAACGCTGCTCTGATACCAGGTGTTAGAACCCTTGCAGATTCTAAACTTGGGGTTGATCTCTTTAGGGGATCGGCCTCCTTGGAACTCTATAGGGGTTCCTCCCTCCAAGTTGCTTCTCAAAGGCTGCAGAAAAGATTCATCTATTGCTTATGAAAAGAGGAGGAATACATGACTATTTATAGGGCTTCTAAACCTTAACTCCTAATATGACTCCTACTCAAGACTCCTACTTCTAACCAACTCCTAATAGGACTCATACTTAAGACTCATATTCATTTACAACTCCTAATTCTTAAGACTCCTATTCCTTTACAACTCCTAATTCTTCTTTAAGAAACAACCTCCTAACCCTAGCCGGCCTCTTTACCTCTTAAATAGGGGTCGACTTAGGTAGGTTTTACATGAATGTCCCTCTCAATTAGGACTCTCCTAGCTAGAGTCCTAACATATACCTTCTTCTCTGAATGTGATATACTTTTTGGCACTTCCCTGTGTGGCATTGGGAAAAAGGAACCAAGAAAAGATGCCCTTGTCTTGAGAATAAGGGCTGTAGTTCCATAACATTCTGTTGCAAGTGCACAACCTCCAATGCTGTGCTTCCAATCTTGAGATTCAAGCACAAGTTTGCAGCTGTCTCATATTTCTATTAGCCCTCAGAAAATTGTGTGGGAGTTCTTTTTCCCATCTGCATGAACTAACACCTAGATGTCAGTTTTCTGTTGTTTTCTTCAACATGACTTGGTCGATCTCAGCATTCTGCACCCACTGTTGTATGTTCAGGCTCAGGTGACTTAAATAACTCTTTTGCAAGCTTTTACAAATCTAGGACTTGAACTTTCTTTTACATCTCATGCATGACAGTGTCACTTCCCTCAGCTTATTAATTTCATACAGCTTCCTCTTAAGTATTTACCTGCGGCCAAAATCAGTTTTCTTGAAGTTTAAATTGACCTAAAACAGTTACTGCTTTTGGTGCAGCTGAAAACATGAGTAAAGATCCATTGCAGAGTATGAAGCAGGATGGTGAGCAAAACTCTGTTTATAACTTTCTCTATCCCAGCAAAGAGCTTCTTCCAGATGATAAAGAAATGAGCATATTTGACCATTTAGAAGAGCTTCGCGAGAGAATTTTTGTCTCAGTTTTGGCTTTGGGAGCTGCTATGTTAGGCTGCTTTGTTTTTTCTAAGGATTTGATCATATTCCTTGAAGAGCCTGTTAGTTCACAAGGAGTTCGCTTTCTGCAGTTATCACCTGGAGAATTTTTCTTTACCACTCTAAAGGTAAAGTGTTTTCTCCATGGCTTCAGGTTCCGTAACTAATTTTTTGGATGCTTACAACTGAAATGATTGCTGTTTAGCTACATGTGCCAGTCTTTTCAAAGTTGATGCTATAGATATTCTGTGCATTATGACCACATGAATTTTGCTTCTTGTTCCTTACAAAAGCTCATTGTCCTTTGACACATCTAGTAAGCATTCTTATGTTCAGAAGCCTATTCTTCTCAGCAATCACTATTAATATTTAGTGACCTTAGCTGAATATCATTGACTTATAAACATATCCATTTTACTCTTATTCTGTGTTCTTTTGATGGTGGGGAATGGTTTGTTGAGTCTTTGGGAAAAGAATAGTGCATCTGTAGCTTAACACTTCTATTCTGTGATTTGCCTTCTCACTTCTTAGATGTTCTGTACAACTTTTAGCTAGCTTTCTTTTTGTTTCTTGTTTGATATCAGTCAAGTTGATAGATGTGATTGTGCCAGCTTAAACAGTATGTTTTTGTCACACAGGTATCTGGTTACTGTGGTCTTCTTCTGGGGAGTCCTGTCATTCTTTATGAGATCATAGCTTTTGTTCTTCCTGGTCTAACAAAGGATGAGAGGAAGTTCCTAGGACCCATTGTCTTGGGTTCCTCTGTCCTTTTCTATGCTGGCATTGCATTCTCCTATGCTGTTCTAACTCCTGCAGCCTTGAATTTCTTCGTGAACTATGCGGAAGGTGCCGTGGAGTCGTTGTGGTCCATCGATCAATACTTTGAGTTTGTTCTCGTTCTTATGTTCAGCACAGGACTGTCTTTTCAGGTAATGTTTCATGATCCTGTAAAGTTATGTTTTCCATGTTAGCTGCTGCAGACTATTAGCTTCAAACACACTTTTAATTCCATCATGTTTTCTGCGTGTACTACTGCAAAAATGCATGGCATACTTGAACAATCTTGCTTTTGCAGGTTCCTGTTATCCAGCTTCTACTAGGGCAGGTTGGTCTGGTGTCCGGGGACCAAATGTTATCGATCTGGAGATACGTCGTGGTTGGTGCCGTTATTGCCGCTGCCATTCTTACCCCATCTACCGATCCCCTGACGCAAATGCTACTGGCAGGGCCTCTGCTGGGTCTCTACTTGGGTGGTGCATGGATGGTCAAATTAATAGGTCGTTAATCCAATCATCTTGTGCATGTTTTATCTTCACCAGGGAAATTATGTGTATCAAAATATGAGGCACATCTCCTTTACATATGACATTACTGTTTACATTCAGTGTATATTTCTTGTAGGCCATTTAGATCTTTCCAATCGCAGTCTTTTTAAGTGTTTGTTAACTGATCATATCCAAACTTCGACAATAGCTTATCTTGTTATTGTAACAATTCAGGACTAGTATGCAGTATGATTTGGTATTACAAGGATTAATACACAAGAAAAAGCTCATGTAATGACAATCCATTTTGTTCTATTTAATATGTAGTTTAATCGACTTTGGTGTCCTAATTATTGAGTTTATGCTGTATTTTGGAGTTGGCATCATCTATATATATATATATATATATATATATATATATATATATATATATATAT